GCTAAGAATTGAAAGCCTGTTGTAGAAGCTGTAAGGCTTCTTCTTGAGATAATTGGGTTATGTCATATTGAGAAAGTTTATTAAACTCAGAAGGATTTCCCGTAAGAGGAACAAGTTCTTTTTTGACCTGGCTGGAAATGGTAGTAACATTCAATGGTTGTTGGGCAACCTGGAGCCAGGTTCTGATATTGGTCAGTCCGGAGGGTTTCTTTTCAGATGATGGTTCTGCATTTTGTTTTCCTTTGTCTCTCCTCGTGGGTTTATTAGGAGGCTTTGGAGGCATTTTCCATGTAAGAATTCTCGTGTGAGAAAATCTGGGAGAGAATTTGAAGAACCATTTATAAATTCTATATCAAAATAAAAAAACGAATAAAATGGCTTGCCATCTGGCAAAAATCTGTTTGGAAGCAATATTTTGAACATCTTTCTGCAAAACATCTTTTGCAGATTTACAATCAATTCTTAATAAAAATTTCTGATTCAAAAGATCTCCTTGAAATTTAGAAATAGAAAGTACAATACCAAGAATTTCTTTTTTGATTGTAGAGTAATTCTTTTGACAATCGTTCCAATGTTTAGAGACAAACTGAACAATTTGTTCTTTATTGTCTTTAGATTGTTTGAGAATTCCTCCATAACCAATATCAGAAGCATCAGTTTCCACAATTTTGAAAGCAAAAGGATCAGTGAGATGTAGACAAGGGATTTCCTTGACAGTTCGCTTGATCTGTTTTACAATATCAGTATGAATCTGAGTCCATGGTGGAGGATCTTTCTTGAGCCTCTGATGGAGTGGTTTGCAAATTATATTGATGCGAGGGAAGAATTCAATAATATAATTCAAACTTCCTAGAAATCTTTGCAATTGATTTTTGTCTCTGATTTCATTAGGAAATTTTTCAGAAAATATTATTGATCTTTCAATAGGTATGATAGTTCCTTGATGAATGTAATGTCCTAGAAAACGAATTTTTGTTTTAAAAAGGGATATTTTAGTAGGGGAAACTACTAAACCATTCTTTTTCACAATATTAATAAAATGAGTGATGTGTCTAAAATGTTTTTCTATGGATGTAGAAAATATTAGAACATCATCTATGTAGACTATAATGTAATCAAAACAATGGTTAAAAATATCATTCATAATCCTTTGGAATTCAGAAGGGGCATTTTTCAAACCAAAAGGCATGACATTCCATTCATATTGGCCAAAAGGAACGGTAAAAGCTGTTTTGTACCTATCCTTTTCGCTAATTTGAATTTGCCAGATGCCTGATTTCATATCAAATTTTGAAAAGATTTTTGCATCATAAAGTCTATTCAACAAATTCTTTTTGTTAGGAATTGGATATCTTATCCATTTTAAAGCTGTATTTAAAGGTTTATAATTTATTACCAAACTTGGAACTCCTCTTTCTAGTTCAGCATTTTTGTTGACATAGAAAGCAGAGCAACTCTAAGGTGATTGGCTTTTCCTAATAAGCTTTTTCTCAAGAAGTTCCTGTATTTCTTTTTGACAGAAATTTAGAACTTCGTGATTCATTCGAGAAGGTCTAGCTTTAGTAGGAATGTTTTTTTTTTCTGAAAAACCTGGTTCATAAGGCAGGTCAACTATGTGACACTTACGAGACCAGAAAGCATTGGGAATATTAGAACATATGGAATCTTTGATTTGATTTTCAAGATTAGAAATCTTTTTCTGAAGACTTGCTTCAGAAAGATTTTTGTCAATCCTATTGTATTCAAGATCTTCCTTAAGAAACTGAAGATGAGTTTCTTTGTCTTGGATTATGCAATTAATCTCAGAAATGGAATGTTCTTGAAGAGTATTCAAATTTCTGGTTTGGGGTTTTGAAATGAAATTAAAGCAAATTCTTTTGCCTAAGGTTTCAGTTTCAATTCCTTTCTCAGAGACTTTAAAAGGCTGGAGTAGATTGACAAAAGGTGATCCTAAAATAACATTTTGTTTGATATTTCTAACAAGAAGAAATGGAGTTTTAAAAGAAATTTGGTCTTTCACAACCTCGGCTTCAGGAATTTTGTAATTTATAATCAGCTTATCACCAGATGCTGATTTGAGAGATTGGGAAGTTTTTTCAAAATATTTGGTTGGTATAAGACCTTCTTTTATACAATTAAGATCTGCACCAGTATCAAAAAGGGCCGTTGTTTGTAAAACAATTTCATTTTGGATTCTTATGGAAATATTGATAATCCATTTTCTGGTAGTTATTTCCGAAAGCATTAAAAGGAAGTTTATATCAAAAGAAGAAGTGAGTTGAGGAACATCATTTCCTTCAAAATCTTCTTCCTTTTGTTTTCCTTTTAAATTTTTCATTTTAATATCAAAGATACCATGAAGGGTTATTTGATTCCAATGAATGGTCCTGGGAATGGTAACATTTGCTTTAGAAATATCAGTTTGCAAAAGAAGTGTTTCTCTATTGGAATTCAGTTTGAAAGCTTTGCTACCAAAGGCAGAATTCATTACTTTGTAATAAACTCTGTAAATGAGAGCTATGGGAATAGAACCTTCAGCTATAAAATAATTATGGGTCTTTATTTAAAGGGTGAAGGATTTTAAAATATTCCTGTCTTTGAGGGAAATGGTAAGACCAGGATGAATATCAAAATGAATTGGTCCATTGCAAAGACTTGTCTTTATATACACTAATTTCCGGACAACGCTATAGCACTACTAAATATATATTAATATGGGTTAATATCACGAAAAACTCCAAACTAGTATACATGTAACAAATTTACTCAAAACTAATTTTTTGGCCATCAAAAGCCCTAAACTGGTACGCCTGTGACAAATTTACCCCAAACTAATTTTTTGACCATCAAAAACCCCAAATTGGTACATTTATGACAAATTTATCATCTATTAATTTCCGTTAAATTTGATTAATATCACGAAAAATCACAAATTGGTATATCTGTAACAAACGGAAGGTAAAATCTCAAATTTGTACACCCGTCAATTGTCACGTATCATTAAACTCAGTAATTTGACGGTAAAATTTAACGAAAACTAACTGAGGATAAATTTTTCATAGGTGTACCAGTTTAGGGTTTTTGATGGTCAAAAAATTAGTTTGGGATAAATTTATTGCATGTGTACCAATTTAGGGTTTTTCGTGATATTAATCCTATTAATATTTGCACATTTCCAGATATTTTAGATATTTCAGGCAAAATAAAAGTCAAATTCCATTGTGACACTCGTAAATATTAGGAAAAATATATACACAGTTTAAATAATAGGTTCGTAATTCTGCCTTTGATTTTTAAGCATCCTTTGAAATTACTTTTCATTTTAACCGCCGGTCCTTTATTATTATTATTTTTTACCGGAGAGATGGTAGAAAATTACTTGCTTGTTTTCTTTCTTCTTCTTTTTATTTTGGGGTTGGCATGAGGCGAGAGCAGCTGTTCGAGTTTCTCGTACTCTACCATCCAACCCCACGATTGGCAGCCTTTCTTGTCCAATTGCCCAGCGCCACATCCTAGATCCGACCACGTGCCACGTGGACTCTTCTTACTCGTTCCTGTTCCTTCCCCTGTTTTTTTTTTTTTGGTTAATACTACAAAAAATTTCAAACTGGTACACCTATGATAATTTTATCCCAAACTAATTTTTTGATCACGAAAAACATAAAATTGGTACATCAGTGATAAATTTACCCAAACTAATTTTTTGATCACCAAAAATTCCGAACTGGTATATTTGTGATAAATTTACCCTCCGTTAGTTTCCATTAAATTGAATTAATACTAGAAAAAATCATAAACCAGTATGCTTGTGACAAACGGAGGGTAAAACATAAAATTGATACATCCCTCAATTGTAGCGTGTCATTTAACAAAGTAATTTGATAGCAAAATTTAACGGAAATAAATAAAGGGTAAATTTGTTACAGGTGTACTAGTTTTGGATTTTTGGTGGTCAAAAAATTAGTTTGAAGTAAAATTGTCACAAGCGTATCAGTTTAGAGTTTTTCGCGATATCAACCCTTTTTCTTGGGGTGGGTCCCTATCGATAAGTCATAAGTAGTCATCAATGACTCAAATTCCTAATGTCTATTCAATTGCAAGACTTCGAACTAGCTCAGCACACTCTCCACAATCCTTGCCATTAAAAAATCAGTAGGGGGCATTGAGAGAGAGCTTCGTGAACCGCAGTTAATGAATGCCAATTTTCGTCTCATCTTTGGCAGAGGATCATAATGGCTAAACTTAAAACCGTTCCAACCAAAAAGATCATTCTTTTTTTAAGCAATGGAGCGAACATTAAGGTTTTAATATGGTGCGACTCGACCATTGGTTCTCCTACGACATATGGGTTACCTCTTTGTTTTCTCATTTTCAGGGGTGAAAACCAGTTTCAGCTTCGAGTGATTCCGACTTGGCTAAATCTACAGACCGAGCCCCCTCAACCTCATTCTCATCTTTATGATGTCCGATTTGGGCAGTTCCGTGCACTCTAGCGTAGTCATGAAATCAACTGAGGAGGTGCTGACCTTATGAGGAACCATGGCATACACAATCATAAGTCCAAACAAAAGTGCTTGGGAGACTAAATCTGATGAAGGCTTTGAGCAAATAACAAAATTTTATTGTTCGTACGATTAACTTTGTGAATTCATATTCTAAGATTCAGTCTTAGGAGAAAAAGGATAGGAAAAATCTAATCTTCCTATGTTGAAGTGAAGTAAAACAAATTCAAAACGAAAAAGGCATGGTTTTTTAAATGCATTAATTCTGGGAAACTCTTTAAGTAGTCTAGTGGAATAATTACAAAAAGATCGAGTAATTGACGCTCATTTACCAAAAATAAATTTTGATGGTATGGCGTGATCTCATTCATTGTCTGTGGATGAAGGATAAATATCGATATTAGAAAATTCAAAAAGAAATAATACGACGGTTGGTCTCATACAATACAAATTACGTGTTTTCTCCATAGAGAAATTTCCAATACAAACACAAACAAATAATAAAGAAGTGCACTCATTCAAGGAAATAAAGAAAGACATATAATATTAACAACCATTGTTTTCATCCATGAAATGAAAGAGATTGACGAAGAATCAGTGGAGTGTACGGCCAAATCTTTGCGGAGATCCACATGGCGTGTCAAATAGATTGTGGGAGTTCACCTGCGCTCCAAAGAAAAAAAAAAGAGCTTAGAGTATTTACAACACAGTATTATGGCATTTATTGTGGTGACGTATGGATTTGCCATTTGAGGACTTGTATCTACCATCCTAAGTCACTACCTGGCAAACCCCTGCCTCACTCATGCCATTTTTCATGATAAATAATTACAAATATTCAATTTAGTGACAAAAGGATATGCTATTTTGTACAAATATTCTTAGCCACATAAATTACCTCGTTTTTCCGTTACATGTTACATCTTAAAAAAAACAAAGAGGGTAAATTGATATATAAGGAAGTTCCAAAAGTGGCCCCGCATTTAAGGGATTTTAACTTTACGCTTTTTGTTATTTAAACAGTTATAAAAAAAAAATGAAAGCGGTCCAATTGCTCTAAGTGACCCTTGATCTTACACATCTCTCCCCAGCATATAACAATATTATATGTTTATCTCCAATTCTTTTACAAAATTTCATGCGAAAAATTACATTGTGCTTGCAGTTAGGAAAGCATTTTTATGGCCATGGGTTCATTCACATGCATCGTTTGTGCCCCTATGCTAGTGCATTTTGAAAGAATGTTGTTGGAATTTTTTCACTTTGTGAGAGTTATTAGATTAAATCTGATTGTGCAAAGTAAAAAACCTTAGTGAAATAAGAATGTATATTACAAACATAATTAGAAAGTAGTTATAAGAAGTTGAATTCCTTTTGCAATCTAATGACCTGATATAGATTGTATCTTAGTAAATATTTTTTTCATATCACTTTTTCCTTTTCTAATTGCAATACTTTAATTAAATTTCAATTCAATTGAAGAATAAAGTGAATCGCTATATTACATCTAAGAACAAAGAAGATATAGAGAGGTGCTTACCTAATCCTCCGTCCATTGTACACGAATACCATCAAGTTCGATTCGAGGAATTTTTGCGATTTTGGGCCAATCCTCGCCAGTTGTTGGTCGACATCTCTCGCTCAGTTGACCACAATTTTCGACACGTAATTCTTTGAGGGCAGCGAGGGACTGCATTCCTTGTGGCATAGATGATAAGTTGGAACATCGGATCAAGTGAATTAATCTGAGACGTGTATGATTGGGAAGCCATTCAGGTACATCAGTCAAGGTCGGGCAGTCATAGACAGAAAAGGACTCCAAAGCGCAAGCAGACTTATCGAGACATTGGAGCACCTCCATCACTTGTTCGGACCTTGATATTGCTAGCACACGAAGATTCGAAGGAAAGTTGGACTTGTTATTGTCGGTCAACATGAGCTTGCAATTGTCAATATTCAAGTACTCTAGGGCAATTAATTCCACAAAAGGCAGAGAAATTGGTTCCCCACAATCTTCAATTTCCAACTTTCGAAGGCGAGTCAGTTGGCCAGTACGTTCAAACAAAACCTGAAGATTTGGGCATCCAGTGAGTCCCAAAAATTGTAGATTTTCCAGGCATTGTATTCCACATTCTTGCAGACTCTTCTGCTGTGTTGTTATGTACAGATTTCTAAGGCTGACGAGCCTCTTCATATTTTTGGGTAAATAGCCTAGCTTTGAGCAATGATTGAGTAATAAGTGTAGCAAACTCTGCAGCTCACAAATGGTATCTGGAAGCTTCTTCAATTGCTTGTTTTTAGAGAGATGTAACGACCTCAATTGCTTCAAGTTGCATATGGAACTTGGCAGCTCCTCAAAGCTGCCACATGACAAATCCAGATACCGCAAGTGGTTACATTTGGAGATGCATATTCTACCAAACTCTGCAGTAATAACTCCATCATCAACATCGAATTCAAATTTAATTGCACGGAGCCTCTTTGAAGTTCGCTTTCTCAAAAAAGGTGGGACTCCATCAAAATTTGGGATTCCCTCCAACGAACGGCTAGAGAACGAAATGTACCGAACTCCTTCCGTAATCTCTATAGTATCTAAGCCAACAGCAGAGAAATTATTTTGTGCCACAATCATTGCAAGAGAATGGACTAGATCGTGCACTTTAAAACTTAATATTGATTCAGACTCATCGACTTCTTGGATCAAAGATCTCTTCCACAACTCTTTGATGTACCCATCGCCAACATCTTCCAAATCTAGTTTTTCCCTTGTTGAACTAATGAGTCCTAAAGCCATCCATATCCTAACTAACCTAGGGCTAGTAATTGCACATCCTTTGGGAAAAAGTGAAAATATGGCAAAACAACGTTTTAAGTGGGACGGTAAATGATCATAGCTAAGCTTAAGAACCGGCAGAATGTCCTTCTTTTCTTCCACTAACTTCCATATTTCGCTATCTCTTATATGGGCCCAATACCCTTCTTCGCCCTTTGTGTAAAGGAGACTCCCCAAAGTTTTCACAAGGAGAGGAACTCCTTGACATTTTTTGACAATGTCATTTCCAATGTCGAGGAGATCAGGACATGGTTGCTTTTCCTTTTGATCGAATGCCCATTTTTTGAACAATGCCATGGAGTCTTTATGAGAAAGACTGTTTAGATTATGCGCTGGATGGGTACCCATTATAGAAGCGACTTCTAAACTGCGCGTTGTCACAATTATCTTGCTTCCACTAGCTCCTTCGCTCAGCAAAGCTTTCAATTCTTCCCATCTACTGCGGTCGTTGCTCCATACGTCATCCAAGACTAGTAGAAATTTCTTGTCTTTGATGGTGTCTCGTAGAAATGTTTGTGATTGCTGAATATCAAGGTTACTCAAGCTTTGACCAATTGCATCTTTAAGGATTCCGTCAATAGTTTTTTTTAAATCAAAGTCCTCAGGTACACACACCCATAGTCGCAACTTGAATTGCTCCTTCACTCTGTCGTCATTGTAAATTAATTTAGCTAGGGCCGTCTTGCCCATACCTCCTATTCCAACAATGGGAATCACTACGAGGTTTTTGTCATCTAGCCGCTTCAATATCTCAATTATCTTTTGTTTATCATCATCTCTTCCGACGACATCCAACTTGTTTATGAACGAGTAAGTCATCTCTCGTGATCGCAAATGCACCACACCATTGTCAACACTCCGCACACTAAGATCAAATTGATTCTTTTCTATAGAAATTTTAGATAATGTCTCCCTGATCTCCTTGATCTCATGACTAATCTTTGCACGGAGTATTAGCGGATTAGAGAGGGAAAAGAAGTGGTGTACCTTCTCTCTGACACCCCCGTACTGATTGATTACCCGCTTTCGTAAGGCTTCACACTCGAGTTCATCGAGAATATCCTCTGCATCGTATAACACGTCTTGAAGCCGTCGCAGCCACTGTTGCAGGCGATGGTCCTTCGCCTGTTTCTCCTCAGCATCTAACAACACGGCAGTAACAGTAGTCAACGTATTTTCAAGCTCGTGGATCTGATTTTCGAAGCAGCAAATTGTGACGGCTTTTTTGAACGCTGGTGATGCTATCTTCCCTAGCACACCCTGTGCAATGCTGAAAAGGAGTGATTCAGCCATGCTAAGTGATGGGGAAAATTGATTCAGGCTATTTGGTTTGAGACGAATCAGAAGAACACACAATGTCTTCCTCTCGGGAGTCGGTTGATATGATGATGGCTTGCTTACAATTGGATGAAAGGGAGGTTCTTTCCTTACGAGTGGCCTGCAAGTTAACCCAAGCATGCCTTCTGCCTTCTCTTTATCTTGCTTTCCAGGGAACAATAAAGAATCGTGATTACTTCAAAGATCCAATCTCGTCCAAGTATCTATTCTTTACTTGTGTATGTAACTCACCTGAAAATGATTGTCTGTATCACCTGGTATAGTTAGATGACCATAAATTTTTTCATTTTAAAAAATAATCTATGCCTAAATATTTTCGTTGATGATGAAAATACTTTTCCATCAATTCAATTTTGCGAGCGACATAGACGATCGGTTTTCGTTAGGAAAATATTTTCTACATCGTTCATACGGTTCTCTCGGCATTTCATTTTCAGAGATGATCCGGAATATTAATGATGTTACGAAAAGAATTATTGATCAAACCGAAAGAAATACTTAAGTTGGGATCCGACGAAATCAATGAAAAGAAGGATGGCACAATAGAGAAGAGCCAAAAACAAATTCTGCCTCAACCATTTGAACCAAAAGCCTATCTCAGTTTCTACGGATTAAATTTAGAGCAAGGCATTGGGAACTCCGAGACTCGTTCCCTTTTCTTCCATGCCAATCAAACCAAGCAAAGAATCAAAGTGAGATATGGACAAGACCTTGTACGGACGATGGATTGAACTCTTTTGTGATGTGCTGGACCATCACCTTTAAAATTATTAATTAATGATGAGCACCCGTTCACTAAAGATTGGAAAAGAAGCCTTTTTTTGTCCGACCATCCATTTGATTCGCGAAAATATTTTCAATTTCCATTTTCATTGAAATTGAGAGTGAAAATAGTTTCATATTCTTGATTTCTATTTTCCTAAAAGTGCATTCAGTTCGTGGAGAAGAAAACTTTCGATAGAAATGAAATTACGAGAATTTGTTTGGTCATAATGTTTTCAGAAGGAGTACCTATCAATCCGTTTCAATTGCCCAGTTGCCCATTAAATTACAATTTGTCGCCGAGAAAGCCCAATAGATTGATCTCACCAAGAAATTTCAGTTCGAATGAAGCCCAAATACATTTCAGGGAAAGTTTCAAGAGTTTCGGATCTAAAAAATTGAAAGTTCTCGAGCCGTAAGACTTAGACTGAGCAAAAAAATAAGTGAAAGACAAAAGTCGATCCGTATAGTCAGACCACTCTAAACTTTCATGAACCCAAAAGAGCAATTTTAAGATTAATTTGGATGTGCCCCTGTTGACACCTAATTTTTAGCCGACGCGTCATTAAAAGTAGAAAATTCGAAATTATGGTTTCCGATCGCGACGGAACCCGTTTCTTGAACAAAAAGTGTCGTTTTTTTAATTCTGTTTGTTAGCCTAGCATCTGTAAATAATTTTCTATTCATTTCATGCAAAAATCCGAAAAGTCAAACGGTTGACTTTCGAGTTGACTTTTTGGTCAACCCTTTGACCAAAAGTCAACCCCAGGTCAAATTAGGGCTTTTCGCATAAAAAGATTCCTTTCAAGTTCAATTTCACTTTAGAAATGGAAATTCCAGAAAAATTCAAAGATTTGATCATAAAATCAAACTTCTAGTGAAAAGTCAATTAGGGTTTGACTTTTGATCAAACCTTTGACAAAAAAATTGAAAAATACAAAAATCCAAAAATCATTTTATTTTACATTCAATTTGCCTTTGGCATTGGAAATTTTGCAAAAATCGATTTAGAATCAACTTTTTCCCAATTTGCGGAATTTGGTTCAAATCGGCCAAAAATAAAATTACTTCATTTCTAGTCATTTTTTTGGTTGGTTTTCTTCACGACATTTGATCTAGAGGTCATCTTATATTCAGTTTTGGAACAAATTTTATAATTCCAAGCCAAACACAAAAACCCCCAAATTTTGGCCCTAATCAGTGATTTGGATTGATTCTTTATGATTTGCACAATTGAGGCACGAATGAGCCTAATTTCTTATATGAAATCCAAATTCAAAATCAATTTTGGAAGATTCACATGAATTTGAGTCAATTTGATCAATTTAGTGATCCAATGATTAAGAAGTCTAAGGCTAATTGGTCTAATCAGTGCAATTCAACTTGACCTACTCTAGACTAATATTCAATTTGATGAATTGAGACTCAATTTGGTTAATTGGACTTCAATTAAATTTGTTAGTCTAGCTTGGCCATGCAATTACCCAAATTCAAGAGCAGTTGAGACAAACAAGTTAAATTGGATCAATTTGTGCATCGGTTCAATCCAATTTGATTGAATTTGATATTGATGGGGTCAATTAATCATGATAGAGATCAAATTGTACCAAATTGGAACAAATGGAATCAAGGATTGAACTAGTTCAATCAGGCCAAATTCGGGGCTAACCGGCTCAACCCGGTTTGATTCAAATTGAATCGGTCCGATCAGACTAGCCATTTTCCGGTCGAAAATCCGGCGATCGACGGTCCATTCCGACTAGCCAAGGCCAGTCACATCCTTTTGAGCCCAAAAATGACAAAAATGCCCTTAATTGAAAATTACGAAAATGCCCCTAAGTGAAAATTACCAAAATACCCTTCATTAAGGATTAAGCAAATTAATTAGGGGATAAGCAAATCAATCATGGCCATTCATTTAGAATTGATCATGTCCATCCATGATGCCATGTCACCAATCCTTAGCCCTTAAAGAATATTCTTAATATTAAGGATGCATTTTAGGCCATTGGATCAATCTAATGGCTAAGATTCAAAGTTGAGGGGAGTATATAGTGTTTTTTCCCTCCAAAATTTGGGGGGACACTCATTTTCAGATCTGGATTCTCTCTCCTCTCTCTCTCTCTCTAAACTCACGTTCTCTCTCTCTTTCTCAAAGCTCACGCATCTCTCTCTCTCTCGTTCTCTCCCGGTCACCGGCCATCCCTCCTCATCGCCGGTCATTTTCCGGCGGATCACCGCCTCACCGTCGTCCCCCACGGTGTCACGAGGTCGGTGCCGCAAGACAAGTCCAGGCTGCTGGTGGCCGGAGCTTCTCATTCCGGCGAGTTTTCCTTCGCAAGATCACCGGTGTTGCTGCCGGTGATTTGATCCGCCGGTTCAAGCGGCTGAACCGGCCAACCAGCGTTCCCTCAGGCGATCCAGAACCTCCAGCAGTGTTCCTCGGCGTCTTCATGTGGCTGTGGTGGCCGGTTTCTCGTTGAACAGCCACCTGATCGTGCCTTTTGATTTGATTCTCTGTTATTAGTTCACTAGTGCGAAAACGAATCGATTCTCACTATAGTTTGTGCAATCTATTATCATAGGTTGGCCGAGCTTTCTGAAACTTCTCCGTGCTGTTCTTGATCTGAATACGGAGGCCGGATCGCTCGATTGTGCGTCAGGGCATCGTTAAACAAGGTAAGTTCACTTGAATGTGGTTCTGTGAATTCGTATCCAGGAAGACCTGCATGTTTGAGATGCTGATTTGAGCTCGTTAATGTCGAAATCTGGCAAAGTGACAAACTAGAGAATCGTAAAACACGTCTCAAGCTTTGATTTGATATATCGCATACCTCAATCGGACTTAATTTGCTATGTCAAAACACTTTCGGAAGTTAGGATCAGAATCTGGATTGTGATGTTCAAGTCTGTTCTGATGATTTCCTGATTGACGTTGTGCTGTTTGATGATTTTTCTGATTTTCTACGATCATTTTTTGAAAAAACCTTCTTCATGAAAGTTGTAAAACACATCTTAATATGTTTTTTTTTTTTTTTGGTAACCCAGGGAACCCCCGCACGGCCGACAGCCGGGAGGTAAACCCTGGGGGCGACACGTGCTAGCCACCACACACGTGCACCGGTTAAGTCACCCTGCGGCGCCCGGGATTCGAACACCCAACCTTTTGCGAGAGGAAGAGTGATCACATCTTAATATGTTCATCATCAAATTTTCGTAAAATTCCAAGCATGTTAGCCTGGTACGATCTGCAACGTCATTTATGCATGATTCGGGTGACAGACTGGTTTCTGATTGACCTTCGTGTGTTATTCGATTTTCATAAATTCGTGTGTTCAAAATATGGAAATTTTTTCTTCAGAAAAGTTCACACTGAGATCGAGATCTTTCTATTGATACTAATTTCATCAAAATCGTAATTCATTCGAATTTTCAAAAGGAATTTTCATTATCTAATCAGTATCTGTGTTCAGATCTGATTTTCATTCCTTTGGAATCCAAAAGATGTTTTTCCGAATTTGATAAATTTAGAGTCCTCTTTTGCAAAAAATCAAAATTACAAAGTCGTTCATTGGGGTCTCATTATGTTGACTGAAAATTTTGAGGGCCTAATAGCAATTTTTAGAGGGTCAATTTGTTTAAAATTTCATAAAAGGTCTTCTCGGGTTAAAATTTGATTTGCAATTGAGTCCTTTGCAAAAACCGAATTTTATAAAAATTTTGAGGACTTTTTAGCAAAAACTCAAAACATGACAGTTGTTTCACACGGAGAATCCTAACTGCCTAAAAATTTTCACACGGTTTTGATAAGGTTTGTTATTTTCCCGCCATTATTTTGAAATCCATAACAGAATCGGGTCCAGCCTGTCACCGAGAGTGAATTTGTCATTTTCGTGAAAATCGATGAGGATTTAGAAAAAATGGTCTTCTTGAATTTTGATCCTCATGTCATAATATTTCTAATGACACCTGAATTGCTTCATTTGGACATCATTAGGGTAGTTAATCATATCTGAACAGAAACAATCCGAATTAGATAATAACTCAATAAGTGGTCTCTTTATGAAGCCCACTTCTCATTGTTTGATTGGCTTCGAAATAAGGCCCATGGGCCTGAATGCATGCTTATTTCATTGCCATGCATGTGTTTGTTAGATGAATGTTAGGCCCGGTGCATGTTCGGCGGGTAGCCCATTGTGATCATTTAGAACCCCGACTTTAGGGGTTAATTGATATGAGTCGCCGTTTTGTGAATGCAAATGGTAGCCCATTATCATTAACCATTGATTAAATAATATTAGATGATT